TCATAGGGAAGGGGTTAAGGGGGTGGGTGTAATACGTGAAGGGGATAAAGAGGCACAAAATCTCAATCATAATATAAATTAGTCACAGGGACAAATATATAGCATAGAGAATACAGTCAATAGTTCTGTAACATCTTTTTATGTTGACAGATCATAACTACACTAGTTGGGATGAGCATTTAATAATGTAGATAATCGTCAAATCACAATTTGTGTACTTGAAACTGATATAACATTGTATCTCAACTATACTTCAATTAAAAAAAAGGTGGGCTGGTGGAAAGTGGAGATGGAAATTAACAGGGAGGCTCCCCATAAACTGGTGAGCCCAGAGTGTTGGGCCCCCGATGCTCCCAATCAGGCCCAGGACCCCGGGGCTCACGGCCTCCTGGGGCTGCCTCCGCAACCCCGACTACAACTGTAATTAATTACCCATAATCACTTAACACCGTCCTCCCAGAGAGCAGGGATCTGTGTGTCTTTACCTTGTATTCCCAGTGCCAACACCAGTCCGCACACAATAAATATTTGCTGGATGAGCAAATGGATGACATGCTCTCTGTCCTCCCAGACAGGAGAGGCCCTCCAAGGGCTAAAGCTTTGCAGGGGGATTCTGACACTGTCTGGGTCTGTGTCCTGATTCTCTACCGACCTGGCTCCTAAGCGACCACCACCTGGCAAAGTGGCCCCAGGGACTGCCCCCTCTCCTCAAGTGCAGCTTAGCCCTCGGAGGACTCTTCTCCCTGAGATGTCAGCTCTGCCCCATGTCTTCCCGTCTCCAGGATCTCACCCCTGTTTCTTCTCCAAGGGTCCTGTTTCTAAGTTAAATCTGATGTCATCTCCCACGTTCTTTCTTCATTCCTCACACTTCTGCCTGTCCTCAGGGTCTGCATCCTCAGTCAGCACCTGCCCAGCCCATTTCCAGATATGTGCCTCTGCTATGCTGTTCTCTCCTCCCCGGAATGTCCTTTGCTCTGCCCTTGGCCTCTCAGAAGCCCACACAGCCTTCAGAAGCCAGCTCCTCCAGGCAGCCCTCCAGATTGCTCTCAGTCCTGGAACCCTGTTCCCAGCTATGGTCAACATCACTCTAGAGAATACTATCTGCCCACCTTGACCATCAGGGTCTCACGGAAGTGACTGTTCTGGACACCTGTCTATTTGGATTCCCCAAACCCAGAATTAGTCCACAGGCTGAGTAAGTTACTGAGTGTTAATGTTTATGAGGAACTGACACAGAAACTGAAGTGTTTCCCTGCTGGCTTAAGACATCCAGTGCTGGAGAGCTACAAAGGCTTCTGGAGTCTTTTATATAAAATATGAAAAATATGGACTCAACTGGGAACTCCAATTTTAAGCTTAAGAAAACATGAGTTTTAAGAAGGAGAATGTGGGTGGCATGGACTGAATTATGTCCCTGCAAATACTGACGCCCTAACCCCCCATGTGACTGTACTAGAGACAGGATCTTTTACAGGTAATTAAAGTTAAATGATGTTGTAAGGGTGGCATGCTGACCCAATAGGAGTGGTGTCCTTAAAAGAAAGAGGCCAGAGCTCGATCTCTGCCATGTGAGGACACAGGGAGGGCACGGGGAGAAGGTGGCCCTCTGCATGCCAAGAAGGGTCCTCACCAGAACCTGCAGCAGCCAGCACTGTGCTCTTGGACTTCCCAGCCTCCAGAACTGTGGAAACCCAACTTCTGTTGTTGAAGCCACCCAGTCTGGTAGTCTGTTATGGAAGCCTGAGCTGACTATGACATGGGGTGTCACAAATCTATCTGAGATGTATGGGAGGTCAGTTCCATCCTTTGTAAAGCGTGAGCTGTCTGAACAGCTGAGACTTTGAAGTGGATTAATAATAATGGTGATAATAGCCACAGGTGTCCTTTATTGAGTATTGGAAATGGAAGGGAAGGTTTTCCCCTGCATGAGCTCATCTACTCCCCTTACCTACCCAATGATGATGCAAGATAGGCACAGGTGCAGAAGCAGAAGCCCAGAGAGGTTAAGGAACTTGTACAGGTCACGTCTCTGTGGCCAAACTGGGACTGCAACCCAACTCCATCTGCACTGACATGAAACAGCACTCGCTGGCAAGTGCAGGAGGTCTGCCACCTCCTCACTGCAGGGTGGTCCAAGTGACCCCTCACCCTGACCCACTTTTGGTCTAGGACCCTCTTTCCCTTCTAAGACCCTCAACCACCCCTCTAATCCTTTCCCATCTGCTTAGAATACACTGAAGAGGCTGATTCTCTTAACAGTGGCCCCATCCCTATGTTGCCTTCTTCCCAGCCCCGTCATCTCCCAATGACAGCCATTGCCGCCTAACTCGCCTCCTGCTTTGACTCGTTGTCCCCCTGCAATCCACTTGCCAGACATCAGCTAGGCTCATCTCTTAAAAGCACAAATCAGATCGCAGCACACCCCTGCTTAAAAAGCTCCCTTGGCATCTCACTAAACTGAGAATCAAATCTCCACTCCTGACCTTGACTTAAGAAGCTCTGTGTGATCGGCAGGCCCACCTCTCACTCCCTCTGCCCCAGATGCCTTTATTAGTTCCTTCAACATGCCCAGCTGGCTTCTGCCTCAGGGCCCTCGTGCTTGCTGTTTCCTCTGCCTGGAACACTTCTACCCAGCTCTTCCGAAGCGGGCTCCTGCTTGTGTTCAGGGTCTGAGTTCTGAGAGGCCCTCCCAGTCACACTGTGTCGCATTGTCCTGTTGTAATTCATCACAGAGGCCTGGGTCAACTCAACATTATTTTATGTTTATTTGTTGTTTCTCATCTCCCACCCTGGAAAATGACCTCTGTGAGAGCAACGATTTTGTCTGTCTTGTTCATGGTACTGCCAGCATCTAGGACAGGGCCTGCACACAGCAGGTCCTCTACTAGTTGTAGAATGAATGAATGAATGAATGAATGAATGAATGAATGAGACAATCTTCCAAAGGATGGATAAATAATATTCCCCAGAAGCCCAACATTCAGCTGTGAACCCAACTAGCACCCTGTCCTTCCACTTTTACTCAGAAACAAGTTCCCTTAGAAACGCAAAGTGCTCCTTGCCTTGCTGCCCAAGCAGAGACCATGTCCTCAGCCTGCTGCAAAGTGAGAACAATTTCAAATGGAAATGTCCACTGGCCCAGCCCAGGGCTCTGGGGTGCCATAGGGTGGTGGGTGGTGAGACTGTCTGGAAGAACACTCCCCCCGCCCTGCCACCACATGCAGCTAAGGTCCTCCCCTGGGATGGCTGCCGTTGCCCAGGAATGGCTGTCCAAGGAGCAGCTGGCAGGAACCCTTCTGCACCCAGGACCAGCAGCCTGCCTCTGTGGCAGAGGCCCTAGACTTTCCCAGATAAGGCTCTGCCCTCTCATCATGGTCTCACACACCTGAATGTTGACAGCAATTGTGGGGGTGACAGGCAGAAGGCAGAGATAAGCTGCTGGGCCCCATAGTCCCAGGCAGAAGTTGCAAAACACGGCCCCACCAGCTCAGATGCCAGAAGCAAGGTGCTCCCAAGTCCCTGTGCCCGCTCCCTCTGGTGGCCTCTGGGCCAGGGCCTGTGCAGGGCTGGAGGGGGAGTGAGCACACGAGCGCCCACAGCCACCATGACATGGAAGGCCCGTGGCACATCCACTCTTCCGGGGACCCTCCACCATTAACCCACCTTCCCCAGCCCGGTTCACCACATGGCCTAGAGCAGGGAGAAAGATGACCTTAGCTGAAATCCTGGCTGTCCCACTTATTAGTTTGGTATATTAACCTCTTTGCACCTGGTTCTCTCATCCAGCTTTTGAATGCCACTGAAAATGCTCGTCAAGGTTGCTAAATGGCCTCCATGTTGCCAAGTCCACGTTTACTTCTGTGACTTCTCCGTATTTCACAGTCCTCTCAACTCCTACTGCCCTACCCCCAGTCTTCCCTCCCCTCTGAATTCTTCCCACAATTCATTAGTTCCTGAAATCTTATTTATTTGATCATTATTTGTTTTTGGTTCCCTCAGCCAATGTAATCTCAAGAGAGAAGGTTTCTTTCTCTGACTTGTTCACCAAAATAATTCCAGGCTTAAGACAGTGACAGGCACATAGAAGTTAACCTGAGAATGGCTTCCAGTAAAACCAGGTGAAAAACAAAAAAGAGGAAGACCTGATATCTTAGTGACAGTGTCTCTGACCTAGGAAGGCACTGGAGGGAAGCCCTGTGATGACAGGTAGACAGCCGACTAGTTTAGGCTGGAGCAGATATAAGAGTTGAGAAGGATTTTTGGCAGGGAAAAAAAAGTAGGCTCCATGCAACAGTAAAATTGAGATGCTAAATAACCTTGAGGGATGAAAGGCATATTATTCTTTGGTCAATATAAAAAGAAAGGCAATTAGGAACTCCAGGGGGAAAAAAAGCTATTTTAAGAAGTCTTGCACTCAGTATGAAACAGTTTAGTACATGGTACAATTTAAACAATCCATGGAATATAAAAAAGGAGAAAATCCATTCAGTCTTGCTGTAAAGATCATTTTCATCTGAGTGCCCAAGAATCAAGAGAGTAGATCAGCAGAACAGAAGGTATAATCCTAGCATACTGTTTGCCCCTGAGGAGAATTGTATTTATTTAATAATATCTAGTAACATTTACTGACTACTTATAGGTAAGACAAGGTTTTAAGGGCTTTGCATATAATATTCAAGCCTCACAACTCTCTAAGGTACATACTATCATTATCCCTATTTTACAGGTGAGGAAGTGAGGTTTGACACAATGAACAAGGTTCCTGGGTCACGAATAGGTGGAAGAGCTAAATTCACACTCAGATTTGTGCGATCCAAAGGCACACTCTCCAGAGCTGACCGAGGAGCCAGGCCATTCGGCCTGTATGCCCCAAGCCTTGCCCAGAAGGGTAGGACACGAGGTGCGCACACACGCACACTAAACACACGTTCCTGGAAGCCAGGATGCAAAGCTGCAGAGCAGCAGGTCTGGGCCAGGCCATAGCCAGAGCAGGGCCTTACCTTCCTGCAGTCTTTGCAAAACACCGAGGAGCTGCCCAGGAAGCCCAGCACCTCCCCACACAGCAGACACTGGGAGAGGCCGTTCCCCATCACATTCTGCCTCATGGTCTCCAGCCGCTCCACCAGCCGCCTGCCACAGGGGAAACAGAGTCAGACGGAATGTGCTTCCCTTCTCCCACCCAGCCCTGCCCAGGTCCAGCCGCCAGGGGACCCCAACCCTCTGCCATGACCCCGTGCTGTTCTCTCACCTGGGGTACTGTTCTCTGCCCCACCCCACCCCCTGGCTGACTTCAAGTCATTCAGTCATTCACTGACTATTAACTGAGCACCTATAACATACCAGGTACTAGGAATAGTGTAGCAAACAAACCCAAGACAGACATGGTGTCTGCCCTCCTGGGACTTATATTCAATAAAGGGAGAAAGTCTATAAACAAGTAAATAAACTGACTTCAGATGGGGAAAGCACTATGAGATAATAAATTGGTGGGGTGGGAAGCCTGCATGGGACGCGCTTCTGTCAGGCGGCGATGGCTGAAGGTCTCTCTGAACTGAGAGCCAACGGATGACGGGGACCCAAACACGTGAGGTACCGGGGGGACGGGACTCCAGGCAGAGGGCAGAGCGAGCATGAAGACAAAGGGCTTGTCATAGCAGGGCAGGAGGAAGGCCAGGCGGCTCCTGCCTGGGGTATGGGGAGGCTGGGGGCTGTGACAGGGACCACACTGCACTGGTCTTGTAGGTCACAAAATGGAATTTGGATTATTTTCAAAGATCGATGTGAGGCTACTGAAGAGTTTTAAGTGGAGGAGCGATTTGATCCAAGTGACAATTTTAAAAGTTCACTCCAGCTGTTGTGGAAAGCTGGGAGTACAGGTAAGGAAGCCAGCGGGAGGTGGCGGGAGGCCAGGGAAGGGGAGTGGAGACCTGGGTGGGTTGTACTTCAGGCACAGCCTCGATGGATTTGGGGTGAGGGGCGTTAAGAGAGATCCAGGACAACTAGAGGCTTTTGGTTTGAGCAACTGGACGGATGAGGAAGCTGGAGGGAGAAAGAAGAGCTTCTCTTTGAACCTCTGATGCTGATGCTAAGTGTCCAGGAGCCTCCCCTGCACCCTGCTAAGCCTGGGCTAGGTGGCACTCCTTGGGTCCTACGGCCTCTCAGCCCGCTGTGAGTCCTGTTCCATGATGACCTGCAATGCAACACTACAACCTCTACGAAACTGGTGGCCACTTCTGTTGTGTGGGCCACTGTATCTCCACTGCCCAGTGGACACAGAGAAAATTCTTGAATGAATGAAGGACAAGTGTGGATACATTGCTTCCTTTAATTGTCACAATCCCCTAGTCAAGAGGATGCTATTTCCCCCCATTTTAAAGACACAAGGACTGAGGCCCAGAGATGTGCAGTCACTTGCCAGGGTCACGCAGCTCCTAACACCCAGGCCTCCACTCACAGCAACCCTGCGCTCCTTACTGAGGGAACCAGTCTGTGCCTGGGAGCTGCTACCACATGCCCTCCAGCAAGCGCTCCTGACTTCCACAGGGCCACTGCCCCTCCCCAGGGACCTGCAGGGCCCTGGGGGCAAACCAGGCTTCAGCCTCCTTCTGAGATGATGTGGGGCACTGCTCTCCAGGTCATTCTGTACCCCTGCCAAACCCTATGGTCACAGAGGGGGCCCAGCAACAGGGGCGGCACAGGGACAGCAGCCCACATGGATGAGGGGCACAAACGCTTCCCACTGCATGGGGAAGCCCCATGAAAGACCCCCTCCTGGGGGAGCCAGAGGGGGCAGCGCTGGCCTGTCAATCATCAATGGTGGGGGCTGCAGAGAAGGAGGGGTAGGTCTGGGAGGGGCCGCCATAGTCAAGTTAGATGGGGGGAAAAGCAAAGAACAATGGGTCTTTTAGAATTGTCTGATAGAAACCCTTTTTGTAATAAAAATGATAGGAATATGTCAGTATTACTGAGGCATGTGCAACAGACTTTGGACAGTGATGGTCTTTGTAGTGGTACCTTCACTTTCTAGAACTGTGCCTTTCTGTAGTGCCTGACTTTTAAAAATGATCATATATTTAATAAGCAAAGATAAATAGAATAAGAACAAGATCAAAATTTAATTCCTTGCCAACACAATACATTGCATTTGTGTTTTCCCATATGTGCTTTTCTGTGTTTTTCAGATTGCTTAGGAAGTATTAGTTGCTTTTCTAATTAAACAAACAAAGACACAACAAAACAGTCTGAAGACTGTGCAGCAGTCCTCTCTGATGCCAGAGGCCAAAGAGCTTAGAACAGGCTGGAAGGCATTGCCCATTGGAGTCTTTGGCTGGAGACCCAGGCTCAGCATCAAATTAAATCCTCCCCTGGCTGAACCACAGCTGACCCTTGTTGTGCAAAGCTGCACAGCCCTTCATGCATTTCACCACACCCAGCTGTTCCTGCATAGCCTGGGCCCGCACATCAGCGTCTCTCCCCATCTTACAGAGGGGTATACTGAGGCTTTGATGGGCGGGTTACACGTGTACACTCCAGGGGTGGTCAGGCAGTGGAGAAGAGCCAATACTAGGCCCCAGGGCACCAGACTCCCAGCTTGCTCATCTGCCACTGAATGCCAAGCCTTCCTCTCACTGCTTCCAGCTGAGGAGCAGCCCTCACCCGATTCTCTGCTGCTCCATGACGTCCAACCGCTCGGCCCTCTGGATGACCTGCAGGATGGCCTCCACCTCGGCCGGGCTGAGGCACTGGCTCCTCCTCTGCTTCTCTGTCTGGTGGGTGTGCACAGACCAGCCTGTCTGCAGCCTCGAGAGAACAACACAGATGTTCTTGAGGCCTTCCCAGTGCAAACCCTGGCACCCCTGCCATATCCACGAAGGCCCTCCTGAGAACTGTCAGGAGACGGCCCAGGTGCTGTGTGTGTGTGTGGCAGGGATGGGGAGAGTGATGAGCAGGAAGGGATTCAGGGAAAGGCAGACACCAGGCTCCAGATGTCATCTTGGCCACCCACCAGCTACTGGGCCCCCCAGAGATGTGGTGCCACTTTAGTACCTCAGGACTCAGGAGCATGGAACGTGACTGCACAGATGGAGAAGGCCACTGCCACAGCGTGCAAGGTTTCCAGGAAGGAGTGTGGGTGCAAGCATTCCAGGGAGGAGTGCGGCCGGTTATCAAGGGAAGAATGAACACCTAGATCTGAGTCACATAAGAAAGTTTACTATGGGATTGGAAAGAATGGTAATAGCTAAATGAGCCTTGAGGATAAAAGAAGATTCACACAGCATTTTGAGAACCAGAGGGTTCGAGGGCAGGAGGGCCACACAGCTGCGCAAGAGGAGGGGCAGCGAGGGCTCGCGGATGGCAGGGTGGGGCTGGGCCCTGCCGGCTCAGGCCTCCGCTCTGGGCTGCGGGAGTGTGGCCTTCTGAGGCTGTGGCCAGGGCTGAGGGTGGGACTCAAGCCCTTCGTATGTTCCTGGGCGGGAAGAGAATGGCAGTGGCAGGCCAAGCCCAGATCCCATCCCTGGGCCCCACTTCCCAAAACTTTGTGTGCCACATGCTGGGAACACACAGATGGACAAGATGGCAGTCAGCACCTTAAGGAACTACAGTATGTTGGGGACACAGGTGCCCATGGAGTCCACAAAGATCTATTCAGTGAAAAATCCTAAGAAGAGCCATTCACTCAGCACATTATTTACTGAGCAACCCTGGTAATGGCAGGCTCAGTAGGTGCTGGGGACATGCTGCCGCACGACATGCAGGAGAGCACGAGGGGTGTATAAATGTGGGAGGCCAGGGGGCTTCCCTAGACAAGTGACAGCAGGCAGGAGACCCTGATACAGGACACAGGCAGGAGGACGAGGGGGTGGGTGCCGCTCTGGTGGCTCCCTGACACGAGAAGGATACTCTGGTGTCACACCCCGGCTGTGTCAGGCTCCAGTCCTTGCACTGCCAGCGCTGCGTGTAAGTTAGGGGGGCTACAAAGCCTGCCCTTCCTCTGTAAGTGCAGCAGCTGCTTATGAGATTCTGGAGTCTATTGGAGAGTCTTATCTTAAGGCTCCATCCCTTCCCAGGTGAGAGAACTTGGGCAGCGGCTCATCCTTGATTTCCTGACCTCTTTAAGGGAGGCCCTGAGGATTAAATGAGGCAGATAAGCCTCTTCGCATATAAGCAAATGCCCAGTTGCTGAATAAGTGGTCATTAAGGATGATTATGCTAATTACCACGGGTAGGGCCAACAGGAACTTAGGTGTTTATGCAGAGTTTTGCAGAATGAATAGGTGCTTCCCAAGTGGGAAGAGGGAGACAGTGCTCGGGCAGGAGATCCCAAGTGCAAAGGCAAGAAGGCGTGGAGTGCTGGGGGTCCAGAGGTCTAGGCTGCTTATTTCTCCAACTAAAAAGAGGCCATTGTCCTAGACCAACACTTTTTCAAGTGGTCCTCACAGGGCTGGAAAAAGCAGAGAATGGGAAAGGGGCAGGGCTGCAAAAGGGAGGAAGAGAGGCCAGTCCTCAGAGTGGGCAGGGGTACACACTGGCCTGCCTTCATGCGCTGGGCACTCAGGGTTTTAGGGGGTTTAGGCCCTGAAAAGTGACACTCTCCCACTGCAACCTGCAGGTATTCCCTGGCCTGAGTATAAGGCCAGGATGTCCTCGTGTGTGGCTCCATTGGTCCCCAGGCTCAGGGGTGCCCCCCATAGGGAAAAGGGAGGTCGAGGTGGAAGGGCACAGTGCCAGCACTGCCACTCCTTCTAGTGGCACCAGCCCAGGACACTGCAGACCTCCTCCCACTGGCCCCCCTGGCATCCTGCAAGGCAGACTGCCCCATTTCTCAGAGGAGGAAAGAGGCAGGGTACAATTTGTTGGCTTTCTAAAGGCAAGTTAGGGGTCAGCCAGCTTTCTGGCCTGGGTCCCGCATCCAGCAGCTGCCAACATGGCCAGGCCCCCCCAGGGCATCCTCCGAGCCTCCTTCTCTGCCTCTGCCGGATCACCCACCATGCCCTGACAGCATGTCCTCTCATTTGACCTTCTCTCCAGGCCCTCTACCCCTGTCAGGCCAGGCCTCGACTCCCATCTACGCCCATGGCTGCCTCTGGGCATCTCATCCCCATGTAGTGCCCTTCCACACAGACAAAGGTGCTAGATGCAGACAGGGCTGCTATCCCCGGGGAAGAGCCCAGAGCACATCCGTATGTACCCCCTAAGCAGTGCCCTCGTCTCACAGCTGGACTGGCCCCACGCAGGGTGTTGCCAACAAGTGCTCCTAGTTGCCCAATGTTCCGTGATATGTGCTGTGCCCAGGCCTTTGCTCATGCTGTGCCCTCCACCTGGTATGCCCCTCTTCCTAAACCCCCTTTCTACTGGTTTGTTCCTGTTCTTTTGTAAGACTCTTTTTAGACAGCATCTTCACCAGGAGGTAAAGAGTCCTTGATCCCTCCAAGATGGGTTAAGAGCCCGTTCTCAGAGTTCCCATAAGGCCTAGGCACAGCTCCATTACTGCGCTTAAACATTATTTTGAGGCAAGGTGGGACACTCTGTCTCCCACTCCAGAATGCATCTTGGGGACCAGACCTGCCCCCAGGGGCCCCTGCTCTCCATCTTCCTCTAACTCATTCAGCACCTCACTCTGCATTCAAGCCACACTGCCTCCTGTCAGGCCCTCTATGTGACAAATTCCTTCCACCTCAGGGCCTTGGCACATGCTGTTTCTGCTGCCTAGAAGCTCCTCCCCTTATTTCCATCTAACATTAACCCATCCTCCAGGACTCAGTATAAGCATCAGTCTCAGGGAATCCTCCCCCAGCCTCCAGATTGTCAGCTCCTGCCTTCACCTCTAACTGCTGTTTCTACTGTCGAAGTAGCTGCACACAGGAATGTGTGTATAGTGCTCACCCCTCCCCACTAGTGTTGTAAGACAAGGGATCACGTTGGTCTTGCCCGCTGCTGTGCAACCTGTGCCTGGCACATAGTAGGGGTTTAGGAAATGCCTAATGGTGCTGGAGCACAGACCTGAGCTGCAGCCAGAGAAGGTGATTTCCCCAGGCTTCCCAGGGGAGCCCTCGGGCACAGCGCCTGGCTGAGGAGATGTGTAGTATTCTCCTTGAGGAGCCTGGCATTACAAGGCAGCACACCCCAGGGAGGAGATAAAAGCGTCTGTTCTTCTTAAAGGTGCTACAAAAGCTTCTGGCTGCTGCTGAGCCAGGACAAGATCAGGGAGAACCGAAGGGAAGGCCGCAAGGGTCACCGGGATCACAGCGCGCCCTGGGACATGAGCACAGCCTTCCCAGCAACTGGCATCCCGCCAGGGAGAGCACACCATCTTGGCCGGCAGAGGAGAGAGAGAGGGGGCTGGTCTCACCCCTGTCTCTCTCCCTGTGGAGGCTCTGTGGGGACTGAATGAGCTGAGCCATCCCACGAGAGGGACAAATTAACTGTCCTACAAGCCCTGCCAACCACTCAGGACTCCACTCTTCTTGGGCATTTTGGATTCATTTTTCTATCCCCTTTGATGTTTCTGCTCTGTTCCCCTGCAGGCCCAAGCATCTAATTACAGATTTCTTGAACTTGGTCCCATTTGGGAATGCTGGCTCTCATCATTGTCGTGGCCTGATGGATGAAGGGGCCTATCTGCTGCCAAGGACCCCCTGCTTCCCCGAGGGTAGGGAGGACTGGAAGGCAGGGGTGGCATCTGTAGCCCCTGGTCTCCAGCCACAGGCGGACAGTAGGTGGAGATGGCCTGATGTAACTGGGGCTAAACGGTCCAGGCTGGGGGGTAATAGGAAAACTGGAACCCTCGGGGGACAAAACAGAACTGGAGAGACCCTGACAGGGGCATGGGGAAGGTGTGGGATGCCTTGAGGCTGGCAGTGGGCTTCAGCCTGGGGCGTAGATCTCCATTCATGTGACAAGTGTTGGCTCTGTGCTGTCAGTGCCAGGCACTCAACTATGAAGTGGGCATCGAGAGATCACAGGTTTCCTGCCTCCAGGGGCTCAGGACTGAAGGCTCAGGGCCAGGGGGATTTATACTCTTAACAGGGAAGGCAAAGGAAGGCTCCCGGCAGCCTGTGGAGACACAAGGAACACAGTCCTGGGAGTCAGGAGGACCCAAGTGTGAGTTCCAGCCTGGGCACTCGCGAGGTAAGTGACTTGGGCAAGGAACCCGGCCTCACTTTCCTCAGTGGAGAAATGGGGATAAATTCCTCATGGTGGTTAAATGAGTGAATGGATGTTAAGTGCCCAGCTCAGGGCGTGGGGTATGGTATGTATTAAACAGGCACTTGTCTTCAAACCCCTCTTTCTGGGTCTCTGGGCCTGAATCTTGCCAAAAGTGGAGGATGCAGTGGCAGGGGGAGGGAAGGCCCGGTGAGGCCCTGGAGATGACTCACTTGGCCCGCAGAGCAAGCTGCCGATCGTTGGGGCACACCCATCGACCATTCCCACTGCCGAAGATGGTGTCGGCCATGTCTTGGAGCACCCAGCCAGGGTGGGGAGTCACAGCTGAGGGGAAAAAAAGAGCACATCATTAGTTGCAGATGGCAGACAGGGTCCTCAGGAACCAAACACTGGCATTTCCAACTATCCCCATATGTTGTCCTCTGCTGGTTCCCAGAATCTCACCCTCAGAATCACTCCTCCAGCTAAATACTGCTCCCTCAAAGCTCCTCTTTCCAAAGGTTCTTAATTCTGGGAGGGATAACTAGGTGGATCATGTGGCTAAGTGATAAAACTGGACATGGCTGGCAGGACATCAAAGGGTTAGAATCAGAAAGGAGAGAAGAGGCACATGTCAGCAATTTCCAACTTCGCTGGGAAGCCCTGGAGTATGTTCGTCCGTGTCCTTTCCAAGTGCAGCCCCTGCTGTACCTCAGTGCATGGCCTTACAGGAGGGGCTGGGCCAGGGGACAGATGGCTGGACAGCCCAGGCAAACCCCACATGCCTCCCAAACCTGGGGGACCCACAGCAGCTTCCCCAGGCCCCCAGGAACTGCTGAAGCCTGCCACCCTCATGGGCTCTGCTCCCCAAGAGGTTCTGAGAGGGAGGGAGGGTCAGCAGCGGCAGCTGTAGCCAGGACCACCCCTCTGCACAACCACAGGGGCACTGTCTACTGGGGCAACAAGGAAAATGGCACCCCTGGGAAGCCTGCAGGGAGGCAACCCTGCCCCATAATTTCCTGTGGGTTTAACTTGTGCAGCCCAGCTTGCCTGACTTTCTCCTCGCCATGATCTATTACAAGGGTGCTGCTCATGTATTCTGAAAGGAGAAAGAGAGTGTGTGAGTGTGTGTATATCAGTCCCAGAGCAAAGACGAGGGGCTGCACTGACTTACCCACACGCCCCTGGTCTCATCCCATCCAGACCAGTGGTCTCAAACACAAGACTCCTTTATATTCTTAAAAATTACTAAGGTTAGAAAATTAGTCTGTTGGTTACTCCAGTGTTTAAAAATTACCATATGACCTAGAAATTACTTTTTGGTATATATCAAAGAGAACTGAAAACATATGTCCACACAAAAACTTGTACATGGATGTTCACAGCAGCATTATTCATAACAGCCAAAAGGGGGAAACAATTCAGATGTTCATCAATACATGAATGGATAAATGTGGCATATCCATACAATGGAATATTATTTGGATGTAAAAAAGGAATACAGTACTGACATGTGCCATGACATGGCTGAACCTTGAAAACATTATGTTAAGTAAAAGAAGCCAGACATGAAAGACCACCTGTTGTATGGTTCCATTTATATGAAATGTCCAGAACAGGCATATACAGAGAGACAGAAAGTAGATTAGTGGTTGTCAGGGGCTACAGCGGGGGTGCTGTGGGGAAAGGAAGGAATGAGGAGTGATTGCTGGGGGTTCAGGTTTTTTTTGGGGGTCATGAAAATGCTCTGGAATTAGAGTGGTGATGGTTGCACAACTTTGTGAATAAACTAAAACCACAGAATTGTATCCTTTAAAAGTGTGAATTTTATGGTATGTGAACTACATTTCATTAAACTGTTCTAGAAAATTCTTGAGACCATCAAATGATTTGGGCTACATCTACTAATATTTACATTAGAAATTAAAAGAAGAAAAAATAATTTAAATAGTAATTCATCAGAGAATAAGAAACCCATTAGATATTTAGACACTTTACAAATTAACTATACTTTCAAAACAAAAGCAATCAGTGAGAATAATGGCACTGTTTTACATTTTTACAAATCTATGTAAATGTTTGGCTTAACAAAAGACAGCTGTATCTGATTTTTCAGTCAATCTTCTGTAATTACGCAGTTTGTCAAGGTGCACGAAGGGCATCCAGGTACCTCACAGATACATGCTGTAGTTGGAAAAGGGAGTATTTTAAGACACTCTTCTGATAGCCTTCTGAGATTGTTGTGGGTGTTCTTTGATACTGTGCTAAAACTCAACAGATGATCATTTCTTAAAGATTAGTTCCAATGTGGTATCTGAAACTATATCAATGAACTTTTCATCTTCTGAACATTTGTGAGAGAACAAGATGAAGTATCATATTATTATTATGAAAACAGTCTTGACCTGCTGGACTGCCTGAAAGGTGTGGGGGCCCCCCAGAGGTCCCTGGACCATGGGTGGAGAACTATTCCAGACCAATGTCACCCATTTCTGTGATGACCAGCAGGGGGCAGCGTGCAGACGGCACCTAACTGACCCACACACAGACCAAGCCCGTGACCTTGACTGCAGTGGTCTCTCTACCCCACTTGGCAGATACAGGTACCTGCTCTCCACTTGGGAAAGAGACCTGGGCACCCCCAGGCCCCAAAGAGCCACACAGGGAGGCCCCATGGCCAGGCCCAGAGCTGGGGTGCCACCATCACCAAAGGCCTCCTCAGATTTAATGTCTTGACCTTCTCCCTGTGAGGCTGACATACAATCCAGACAGGGTAAAAAAATGACACACTCATCGAATAACTTTAAACTGGTGCCCCCTTCTGAAGGCGTCCGGTGTGCAATGGTCTGTTTTGGTGCTCTTTAAAGTTTCTGTCCCCTGTGAACAGCAATCATGCAGCCATGTGGGTTTGGAAAACATTACTTCATTCCAGTAAACACTGAAAACATCAGTAGCCCTTTTCTTTATTATTTTTAAAACACATTTTGGAAGCACCAAGAAATGGAAGTGATAGAGGTCTCCCTGAGAGGGAGAGGCTGTGCCTGGGCCCACTGGGCACCCTGCTGCAGCCTGCAGGGGGGCACCATGTCCCAGGTGGGACGGTCCTGAGCCTTCCTGCCCATCCTGCCACAGCTTGGTACTGTGAGGACAGAGGGGGCCCTCTGCTCTGCCAGGCACCCTCACAGAAGCAGGGGGTTCACCAGTGGTGACCCCTGAGGGGAGGAGCAAGCCAGGGAGACTTGGGGTGGGGAAGTCTATCTCCTGAAGGAGCTTCTGAACCAAAAGTATGCGGAGCTGGGCAGGGGGAAGAAGTGGGGAGAATGAAGGGGTCCTGTGCTCTCATGCTCACACGTTTCCCTCTTTTATGGTGGGGACACGTGGGGACATCCAGGAGAAGAGAGCAGCAAACACAGGTGCAGACACAGCAATCCCCTGCAGCCCGAACTAGTCATCCCAAATGAGACTTTAAGGAATGAACTCCCTTTGTTCTCTTTGGGTCACTGCCTAGCGGGGCCAGAGTCTTGGGATCACTGCAAGGGAACCCCAAAGTAACCTTTATCTTTCTTCTGACCTGTTTGAGTTCTTCCCTCCCTTCTCCTTCCTTTTTCTAAACTGGCCAAAACAACTCTGCAACCATCCACAGGCTATTCTGTTCTGCTCTTCTTAAATCTAATCATGATTTTTTTCTGTTCGACAGAGAAATAGAGAGGTTAAGAGACTGAAAAAAGGCCACATCGCTAACTACGCTGGTCTCCTAATCCTCAGGCCAGCATTTCTTTCTCTGCACTGGGGCAGGGTTTGGGGGCAGTGGAGAGGTTGGAAAGAAGACACAACCAGGAAAGAAAACAGCAGGAAAGCCTGGTGTTTATGCAGACCTCCTGGTAGGCCAGGAACAAGTCAGTAATCCCTGAGCCTCAGTTTCCCCATTGGGACCCAAAAGAGCTGGAGAGACCACCCTGTATGGTTCCTTCATCTGATTCTGTCCTGCTAAGTTGTAGGAATTGTAGGAGGGCAGCACTGGTGGTGGATGTTGGGGGGCATCTGGGGAAGAGTCCTGGGGCAGCACGCTGACAGCTGCTCCAATCTGAGAGATGGGAACTGAGCCCCTTCCACAGTCTAGCCCCTGGGGTTGGGAGGAGGAGGAGGGCATCTCCATGTCCCCCACGCCTCTTGCTCCTGGAACTTCAGGGAAGATGAACCCACAGAGTCAAATGCTGCAGAGAGGTCTAGGGAGATGAGAGGATGTCACCTCCCACTGCCGGCAGTCGTGGGTGCTAGTGGGCAGGGTCTTCAGCGATTCTCAGTTCATGGTAGAGCATGCCCACAGGGTGGCTCCGAATGAGAACTCAGCCACCACCCCCACCAGGACTGCTGTGCCTGCCCAGGCTATGGCTGGCACCTCAGAAGGCACAGCTGTCATTCACCCACCAGAGCAACCTTGGGACAGATGGTGGGAGTGGAAGGGCAGTTTGAGGAGCCACATGTTAGGAAACGGCTAACGGAGTCAGCTTACGTTCTCCAGACCCTTCAGCCTGAACCAGCTGCCAGGCAACTCCTGTCCTCAGCTTCCTGCACCCCCTTGGCACGCTGTGTGCTCACCACCCAACCCATACCTTCTGGGCTCTGTTCCCCCTCCAGTGGGGGTCTCCAGCAGGAAGGCAGGGAGGGTCCCTTTCCAAGGCCCCTGCCCCCCTAAGAGCTAGGTCCTTGCAACTTCCAAAGAGCAGAGCCACATGAGTTGAATATGGACCATGCCCTTGTATTAATAAATGTCAGTCTGTCCTGGACAAAAATCAACAGATGCGGGATCAAAAAGGGGCTTAAAGGAGGTGAGTGATAAAGCAGGGAAGGCGAACCATACATTCACGAGGGGAAGGACGGACTTGGCCGAGGGACCGGAAGGGAGCAGAGGCTCCAGGGTTGTGGCAAGAGGGCTGTGTGGGCCCTGGCCCCCCTCTCTGAACAAGGGGAGACGTGGCACAGGGGCAAGACCTGCCCGAGGTCCTTCTGCAGCGAGAAGAAAGAGGCTGAAGGAGAGAGGTGTATGGTGTGTCTGCCTGTGTGTGTGTTCTGCTGGGAAGGAAGTCGAGTCCTGGGGGAGGTGGTATCCTACCTGGGAATGCAGAGCTTCAGCTACTGACATGATGCTTCCCTCTCCTTCCCTACTAGACTGGGGGCTCCGTGGGAGGTCTGAGTCCTCCTCCTCCCTCCATTCCTGTGCCTGCCACAAAACAGGTGCTCGGTGAGTATCTGTTCAATGGAACTGAACGCATCAGAGAGCTGGCCTTTCCCAGACAAGGACTTCAGACAGCAAGGCAGACGTGCTCAGAGCGGACAGAGTTGAG